CACCTCGCGCCGGGTCTTCGCCTCTCAGGACGTCACCTTTGACGAGTCGGTCCCTTTTTACCGTCTCTTCCCCTACCGCACTGCCCCCCTCCCTCCCCCGCCGCTTTTCCTCGCTCCTGGTCCCCCTCCGGTAGACCCCCTTCCCCCTCAGGGTCCTGCTCCTTCAGGTGTCTCTCAGGTAGACCCTCCTCCCGTTGCTGAGCCTGTCGAGGTCACAGGTGACTCAGGTGCTGCTGCGGGTGGTGCTGCTGGGGGTGCTGAGCCTGGGGGTGCTGGGCCTGGGGGTGCTGGGGCTGCGGGTGCTGGGACTGCGGGTGCTGGGACTGAGGGTGCTGGAGCTGAGGGTACGGTGCCTGAGCGTACGGAGCCTGGGGGTGCTGAGCCTGGGGGTACTGCGTCTGGGGGTGCTGAGCCTGGGGGTACGGAGCCTGGGGGTGCTGAGCCTGGGGGTGCTGAGACTGGGAGTGCTCGGCCTGGGTGTGCTGCGCCTGAGGGTACTGAGCCTGGGGGTGCTGCGACTGAGCCTACGGAGCCTGGGGTTGCTGCGTCTGGGGGTGCTCCGGTTCGGGGTGCTGAGCCGTCTCTCACACAGCAGCAGCTTCGTGACTGGTACGTCCGGCGCTTTCGCCGTCCTCGTGGCCCTGCTGGAGTTGGAGGTTCTGGAGCTGCTCGTCCTGGAGGTGCTCGTACTGGAGGTACTGGAGCTGCCGGGGCTGGTTGTTCTGGGAGCACTGAGGCTGGAGCTGGGGACTCTGGAGCTGGTGGTACGAGCGGAGTTGGAGCTGCCGGCCCTGGGGGTGCTCTTCCTGGAGGTGCTGGAGCTGCTGGAGCTGACGACACTGGAGCTGACGGTCTTGGAGGCGTTGGTCCTGCTGGTTCTGGAGGTGCTGGCGAGGGGAGGTCTGCCGCTGCTGGGGCCTCTGGTGCTGACGTCGCCGGCTCTGGGGGTGCTGCGGCGGGGGGCGCTGGTGTTGGAGCTTCTGGTGCTGCGGGTGCTGGAGGTACTGGCGGAGCTCCGCCGTCGCGACTGTTCTTCGCTCCGCCGTCGCCGTCGGCTTTGCCACCGCCTGACACGGTGCTTCGCCAGGTTCTTTCCCTCCCGTCTTCCACTGGCCTTCCCCTCCAGCCTGGCTCCCCCCTCCCTGCTCCTGTGCCTTACACTGCGCAGCCGGACTCGCTTACGGAGCGTCGCGAGCCTGCGTCTCGTCCTGCCTCGCCTGTTCGCGCTGCTCGCGCTGCTCGCACTGCGCGCACTGGTCCCACTGGTCGTCGTGTCGCGCGTCCGCGTCCTCCTCCTGTTCCTGGCACGCACATTATGGCCCTTCGTCCTTCCACTGGTCCACAGCGTGTCCCCCTACCGTCTCCTCCTGTGTCTTCACTTCCTGACGTTCCCGACCCTGATTCTGACAGTGTTCGTGCTGCCCACCCTACTGTTACGCGTCTTCTCGCCACTGTTGTCACTGACCCGTCGTTTGAGTCTGCTGCTGCGTCTGCCCTGGTCGCTGAGCTTGTCGACTTTGCTGCTGCCTGTCGTCTAGACTACGCCGCCAGTCTTGTTGCTGCGTCTGAGTCTGTCTGTCCTCCGTCCGTCGGGGGTGAGTGTGCTCTTGGCACGGACATCCTTGAGGACAGGCAGGAGGACTTTGACTCTCTTGCGGCTGCTGTACCTCATCTCGTGGCCTGGTTGCTTGCCCCTGAAAGAGACCCGGATGCACTAGACATCCCCACTCCGCGCTCTTACGCAGAGGCGATCTCGGGTCCCTACTCCTCTCAGTGGCAGACAGCCATGGACGCAGAGATGGCATCCTGGAAGTCCACAGGCACTTACGTCGACGAGGTTCCCCCTCCTGGGGCGAACATCGTCGATGGCATGTGGATTTTCAGGGTGAAGCGGCCGCCAGGTTCTCCACCTGTCTTCAAGGCTCGTTACGTTGCTAGAGGCTTCAGTTAGCGTCAGGGGGTTGACTTCTTCCAGACCTTCTCCCCCACCCCGAAGATGACCACTCTTCGGGTTCTGCTGCACGTTGCTGCTCAGCGTGACTACGAGCTTCACTCTCTTGACTTCAGCACAGCGTTCTTGCAGGGCAGCCTGCACGAGGAGATCTGGCTGCGCCGCCCACCTGGCTTTACTGGGTCGTTTCCGCCTGGTACCCAGTGGAGCCTCCGGCGGCCAGTCTACGGTCTCCGCCAGGCGCCACGCGAGTGGCACGACACACTGAGGACTACACTTGCGGCCCTTGGGTTTGCTCCTTCCACTGCTGACCCGTCACTGTTCCTGCGCACAGACACGTCACTGCCGCCGTTCTACATCCTCGTGTACGTCGACGACTTGGTCTTTGCTACTGCTGACACTGAGGCACTCGCTCGTGTGAAGTCGGAGCTGCAGAAGAGACACACCTGCACTGACCTGGGAGAGCTGCGTAGCTACCTTGGCTTGCAGATCACCCGGGACAGAGCACGCCGCACCATCACCCTGACTCAGTCACACATGGTGCAGCAGGTCCTTCAGCGCTTCGGCTTCCAGTTCTCCTCACCACAGGCCACACCTCTGGCTACCAGCCACTCGCTCTCAGCTCCACCTTCGGACGAGTCCGTAGAGCCGAGTGGCCCGTACCCAGAGCTTGTAGGCTGCCTCATGTACCTGATGACTTGCACGCGACCTGACCTCGCGTACCCTCTTAGCATCCTTGCTCGTTACGTTGCGCCTGGGAGACACAGGCGAGAGCACTGGGAGGCTGCTAAGAGGGTGCTGCGTTACTTGTGCAGTACATCAGGCATGGGGCTGGTGCTTGGAGGACGCGACAGAGTTGTCCTCACTGGTCACTCGGACGCTTCTTGGGTGGACGACCTGGCTACGCAGCGGTCGTCGCAGGGTTACACCTTCAGCCTTGGCTCTGGTTCTGTCTCGTGGCGGTCCACCCGCTCTTCTTCTGTTCTCAGCTCTAGTTGTGAGGCTGAGATCTACGCCACGGCCATGGCTGCACAGGAGTTACGCTGGCTCACCTACCTGCTGACTGACTTGGGAGAGCGGCCTAGTTCTCCTCCAGTTCTGTACGGCGACAACAAGGCGGCCCTTGCCTTGTGTCAGGAGCACAGACTGGAGCACAGGACGAAGCACATTGCTCTTCGCTACTTTCTTGCTCGAGAGCTGCAGCAGCGCGGTCAGCTTCGGCTTGTGTACGTGGACTCGAAGGCCAACACTGCTGATATCTTCACCAAGGCGCTCCCGCCTAGTGATCATCAGCGGCACTGTACTTCTTTAGGCCTTGTGTCCACATTCCCTCACTTGCTTACTGCTTGACTTTCTTTGTACTGTACTTTATATATTTCTTGTTGCTTGTCTTGTTCTATATCTAGCACTGCATGTGAACTGGCCTTGTGGCCTTTGCTTGTGCTCAGAGTGTGGTGACGTTGTGATCCACCCTGGGCTTGTTTTGCTTTGCTGGACTGGTCTTGTGACCCTTTGTTCTCCCCCACTTTGCTTATGGGGGTGTGTTAAGTTGTAATGTGTTATATGTTGGTAGGCTGTAGTGGGGTAGCCAATATAGGGTACAACCCCAACTAGGGTTAGCTACTTGTACCCAATTGTCTCTTTCAATGCACCATTCTCACGCTAGTATTCTGATACGTGAAAGTTTATGTCTTAGGGTACATTCCGCTGTGGACACATGTCCCAATCGATGTGTCCCAATCGAGTGTACCGCTCCGAACCGAACTAAACCAGAGACGCGAAAATTTCGAAACTAGGGTGCAATTTGGTGTAATACGATGCAGTGCGGTAGAAACGATTGGGACACATCGATTGGGACATGTGTCCACAGCGGAATGTACCCTTAGGGTGCGTCTAGTTTTTGAACTTAAGTCGAATTAAATTTGTCTTTCCTTGTAGCGAAGTTCGAACATCGGGACTGCAACACTGTAAAACTGCAATCACACATACAAGGTCGAGCCCCAACATTCGTCCTTGTACAAAACGCGTCGCGCCGCTTGTCAAGAATGTCGGCTACCCGGTTTGCATAGGTGTCATGGATGTTGCCACGTGGCTACCGACAAAAGCCCTAATCGTGGGATGTCGTTGTTGTGCCATTTCCAGCTTCGCAAAGCCGTCTCCCGTTTCGCCTGCTCCTCGTGCGTGCTGTAAATCACACGTTCGCACAAACGTGAGAACGCACGTTCACAACGCCGACTCGAGTCAAGTTCACATTTGACATTCGAACTTTTGTGCGCAGCGAAATCTATTTTTTTGCAAATGACATTAAGCGAAATTGTTTAAACAAGTAACCACCTAAGTTTGACCTTGTTCCGAACTTCAAAATGGACCTCACGCGCCCTTACGACGTGTTGCGACCCACACAGGTCGGGTCGACCATCCCCCGATCCCAAATTTCTAGGAAGGGTGCGTCGCGGGTCTACCCGACCAGATCGACTCGACCCAACCTGGTCGGGTTGTGTTACAATCTGAAGTGGGACTTAACGAAACAAGGATCGTTCAGGGTTGATCGCAGGTAGTGTTGCAGCGGAAGTAGTGAACTCAGGTCAGAGTGAATGTAAAATGACTGAGATGATAATAGCATGCATACATAGGGTTTATATAGAAATACAAAGGAATGCGAAACGACCTAGACTAGCCATGTACTCTAAGGGGTACATTCCCTTATTGCAGCGAAATTCAAACCGTGCGGCGCGGGAGTCAGTTTCAAACCTGTTCCCGCTCTTTTCATTTCAAATGTCTCTGCCTGCATCGGTCTCGATCAGGCGGTTGCTGTGTCGCTTCGATTCTTCTGACTCCTCGTCTTCGTACTCGGTAGAGTCGGCTCCTACAGCGTACAGGAATGCCTTCTCATTGAACTTCGTATCGTAACAGGTTGGGTCGACCTGGGTCGACCAGGTCGGGTCATCCAGGCCGACCAGACCCAACCCAACCAACCTGGAGCAGGTAACCCGAGCCTGCGAACTCTATCTGTTCTCGCGCGGAGGTCGCCGCTATCTTGCCTAAGAATATGATACCCGGTAATATCGCCCAGCCCACCATCCACCCGCGCAGCAATTGCTTTCACTTTACGTCGAATTTGCAGGGAAAGCAACGGGAAATTCTTAGTTTCGTCGAGTCGCCTTTGGTTCGGGTCGGGTCGGGTCGGTTCGGGGCTACCCGATCTGGTAGACCCGACCCAACCCAACCCTGTTGGGTCGCAACACGTCGTTAGTTGATTGTTTGCTCTGACTTGCTTTCTCTGACTGAGTGCTACAGTATTCAGTGTTGGACAGCAGGCGGGTTCAGGGATAAGACGACAATTTAACCGCATTCTCAAGTTGGGACACCATCGAAGTCATTCCACCATCACAAATTTTCCGAGATGATGGTGTCCAGGTGGGGCAGGGCCCCAGTTCGGACACCAAGCCTTGTTTAAGCGGGCGACAGAGGTCGCCCTGCTCGCATGACAGGTGTCAAACCGAATCAATTTCGCCCCCAATAGCATCCTCCCGTCAAATCGCACGTCAAAGGTGCGATAAATTTTGTCAGGCGATAACCTAACAGCCATGCCTGACGGTCGCGTCGGTCAAATTGTCAACATTGTTGGAGTGTTCGATGTTCAGCGAAACCATGTACGCAGTGCACCTAGCGAGTTCGCGGGCAGGGGTAAAAATACACATGGACGGCAAGTAGCACGTTACAAGTCTCTCCGATAGCAAAACCCCCAAAACCACCAATCGTGGCACGATCGTTGAGGTCGTACATTGACGTGCAGTCAGAGAAATGCGATAGTGGCCTGTTGGCCTGAAGCCGAGCCGCGTGGGCAAACATTGAAATGTGAATAAATTGCAAAACCAACATTTCCAGCCGCGTGGGCAGACTTCTGATGGTGGGCGTACTTGAGAATCCGGCGTAAGTCAGCAAGAATCGCTGTTGGGGCTTCCAGATGGGACAGGCTGTATACCCGCTTCTCAACGGTACCAACGCATGACCCTGCACAACCGTTCTGCGTAATGGCAAAACCGAACTGAAGCGATCGTGTTTCTAGAACTTGCCGAGATAACCTGCCTGCCACCGTGGCCCATCCCCAAGGTGCTTCTGTCAATGAGTCATATTTTCTTGTTACGGGTAGGACGGGTCGAATAATGAACGTAATCGCAGAATTACCCCGACCATTTTAATAATTTAAGATTAGAACGTATTCGGACGTAGTCCTCGGACAAGCCCAGAGACCAGCACACAGTCTAGGGTCATCTCGTCTTGTACAGCTGGTGGATTCCAGTTCATGACCAGCCGTTTGAACAGATTCTGAACACGTCCTGGCAGCATAACTTTCCAATCTCTCCTTGGCGATCGCCTCTCTCTAGAATTATTATAATGGCTTCTAGGAATCATACAGGAAACGGTAACGGTACGGTCACGGAAATTGATTGGGCGGCGATTGTGCGACCCGATCCTCCGTTCGTTCGGTGGATAAAGGAGCATCACGCTGCCGCGTTAACCGGCTGCGACGCCGACGAAAACGACGTAAGCGACGACGATTACGACGACTTTGGCGACGAATTTAGCGACGACTTCGGTTATGGCGACGACGATGGCGAAAGCGACGCCGAAAGATACGGCGAGTCGGACGACTCGTACGATATCGACGAGTACCACCTCGGAGGGCGGTTCGGAAGGCCGTTTGACTCAACAGAAGACACGTTTCGAGACAGACAGACGGATCGAGCGAGGGAAACAGACTCAGAGGCCGAGGCAGATCGCTTGGGGGAGTTGGATCGCGTGGGGGAACCGGGTCGCGTGGTGCAACCGGGTGGTCTCGAGGTCCCTTGGTACGAACTCCGGGGATGCGACAAGGAATGGGAGATATTGGAGGAGCTCGCGCGCGAGGCGCGGAGGACCCAGTGGAGCGATGCGGAGATGATGGAGCTCGCAGCGGCTGTCGTTTTCTGCCGGCGCAGCGGGCAGGTGATGCGGAGAAGCACCCTCGTTTACTGGCGGCAGGTGTGGCGCGCGATCCGGCGCGCGAACCCCGAATGGCGGCGCGTCCCGACGGCGATGCAGAAGCAGTGGGCGCGCATGAGAGCGCGCTACGACGCGGAGACGCACGACCCGCGCCGGATACGATGGCGGAAGCAGCAGACGGGGGTTCCGCCATTCCCCGCGAAGGGAATACCCCCTGGCGCGGAGCAGCACGCGGGGGTTCCGCCATTCCCCGCGAAGGGAATACCCCCTGGCGCGGAGCAGCAGGCGGGGGGCTCGGTTGAGCCGCGGCAGGGAGGGTCTACTAACGCGGATGAGCACGAGCAACCCAATAACGAGTCAGGGGGGGTCCCGGAGGCGCGGGCAAAGAAGCGGGGAAGGCCTAAGGGGAGTGGGAGGGGGAAGGGCAGGGGGCCGGGGGCAAAACCTGCATGGGTTGGGAATAAGACGGAACCACCATGGTTCGAGTATGTTCGACTGTTCTATGGGATTGAGATTCAGGCGCGGAAAATCGTGGCAGCAAAAAGGGCTAGAAGGGCCGCTAGGTCGTCTGCTGGTGTTGCTGTTGGTACGATGTTTCCGACTTGGAGACAACCTGCTGAACTGCCCGCTTATGCGTTTCCTGAGAGCTTTGGCTCAGGGTGGGGAGAGACTGGAAGGCAGCCGCAGGAGCAGCAGCAGGAGGAGGAGCAACAACAACAGCAGCGGCAGCAGCAGCAGCAGCAGCAGCAGCAGCCGCCGCCGCCGCCGCAGTTGGCCGCAGCAGGAGGAGCAACAAGAAGAGCAGCAACAGCACAGGCAGCAGGGGCAGCAGGGGCAGCAGAGGCAGCAGAGGCAGCAGAGGCAGCAGAGGCAACAACAGCAACCGCCGCAGCCGCAGCAGCAGCAACAGCAGGGAATGAACATTCCCCCACCATTCCCATTCCCATCACCATCACCATTCCCGTTCCCATTTTTACCGTTCTCTTCGCCATCTGCGCTCCTCCCTTTACCAGCAGCAGCGCCACCCACTGTCTCTCCCGTTGCACCTGACGAACAACCCTCTGACTTGAGGCAGCCCCTTGATAACTACCTAATGAGCCTTCGTAGCAAAGTCACTCAGGTTCCCAGCACCACTGCTCCTGGTGGTTCTACAGAAGGTCTGCTTACTGGTGGTGGGTCTACAGCAGGTCTGCTTCCTGCTGTGTCTATGTGTGCAATTTTTGAGAATTCTCAAAAATCGCACACAGGTCCTGGTGGTGTGTCTACAGTAGGTCTGCTTCCCGCTGGTGGTTCTACAGTCCCTGACACAATAAGAGGATCAAATCCAGGTGAACCTTCAACTTTTGACCTGATGCAAAAATACAGCAGATACGACAGCAGGAAAGTCACTCAGGTTCCCACCTCCACAGGTCCTGGTGGTGGGTCTACAGTAGTAGGTCTGCTTCCTTTTGCGTCTACAGTTCCTGACACAACAAGAGGATCAAATCCTGCTGAACCTTCAACTTTTGACCTGTTGCAAAAATACGGCGGATTTTACAACAGCCTGCAGTCCATGCCTGGTAACACAGTTACTTTCGCTACTGGTGCTACAGCCCCCTTCCCTGCTACAGCCCCCTTCCCTGCTACAGCCCCCTGGCCCGCTACAGCCTCCTGCTTTGCAACAGCTTCCGGGCCTGCTGCAACCCCCTGGCCTGCTACAGCCCCCTGGCCTGCTACAGCCCCCTGGCCTGCTGCTACAGCCCCCTGGACTGCTGCTACATCTCCCTGGCCTGCTGCAACCCCCTGGCCTGCTGCAACCCCCTGGCCTGCTGCAACCTCTTGTTTTGCAACAGCTTCCGGGCCTGCTACAACCCCCTTGCCTGTTTCAACCCCCTTGCGCTCTGCAGTCCCTGTGCTCATTACATACCTTCAGCCGATAAGTTGTGAGCCTGTATCAGCCCAGCCTGCAGCAGCCCAGAGTCAAGGGGCAGCCGCAGCACCACCGGGTAATCTGACTGCTGGGGGCGGCTCACTGCCTGCTACAGCCCCCTGGCCTGTTTCAACCCCCTGGCCTGCTACAGCCCCCTGGTCTGCTACAGCCCCCTGGCCTGCTACAGCCCCCTGGCCCTCTGCAGTCCCTGTGCCCATTACGTACACCCAGCCGACAAGTTATGAGCTTGCAGCAGCCCAGCCTGTATCAGCCCAGGCTGTATCAGCCCAGCCTGTATCAGCCCAGCCTGTATCAGCCCAGGCTGTATCAGCCCAGCCTGTATCAGCCCAGGCTGTATCAGCCCAGGCTGTACCAGCCCAGGCTGTACCAGCCCAGGCTGTATCAGCCCAGCCTGCAGCAGCCCAGAGTCAAGGGGCAGCCGCAGCACCGGGTAATCTGACTGCTGGGGGCGGCTCACTGCATGCTACAGCCCCCTGGCCTGCTACAGCCCCCTGGCCTGCTACAGCCCCCTGGCCTGCTACAGCCCCCTGGTCTGCTACAGCCCCCTGGTCTGCTACAGCCCCCTGGCCTGCTACAGCCCCCTGGCCTGCTACAGCCCCCTGGCCCTCTGCAGTCCCTGTGCCCATTACGTACAGCCAGCCGACAAGTTATGAGCTTGCAGCAGCCCAGCCTGTACCAGCCCAGGCTGTATCAGCCCAGGCTGTATCAGCCCAGCCTGTCTCAGCCCAGAGTCAAGGGGCAGCTGCAGCACCGGGTGATTTGACTGCAGCACCGGGTGATTTGACTGCAGCACCGGGTGATTTGACTGCAGCACCGGGTGATTTGACTGCAGCACCGGGTGATTTGACTGCAGCACCGGGTGATTTGACTGCTGGGGGCGGCTCACCGGGTGGTAGGGGTGGTGGGATGGAGCAGAGAGAGCGAATGAAGGGAAATTATGAGCCCGCAACAGCCCGCGTAAATAGCGCAGCAGCCACTGGTGGTGGTGATGGTTTGACTGCTGGAACAGGCACACTCCGTGGTTCGACTGGTGGGATGGAGCACAGGGAGCGAATGGAGGGAAGTGATGAGCCCGCAACAGCAGCAGCCCTCGTAAATAGCGCAACAGCCCACGTAGATAGCGCAGCAGCGCAAGTAAATAGCGCAGCAGGCACTGGTGGTGGTGATGGTTTGACTGCTGGAGCAGGCACATTCTGTAGTTCAACCGGTGGGATGGAGCAGAGGGAGCGAATGGAAGGAAGTGATGAGCCTGCAACATTCCAGAGACAAGGGGAAGCAGCCCAGAGACAAGGGGAAGCAGCCCAGAGACAAGGGGAAGCAGCCCAGAGACAAGGGGAAGCAGCCCAGAGACAAGGGGAAGCAGCCCAGAGACAAGGGGAAGCAGCCCAGAGACAAGGGGAAGCAGCCCAGAGACAAGGGGAAGCAGCCCAGAGACAAGGGGAAGCAGCCCAGAGACAAAGGGAAGCAGCCCAGAGACAAGGGGAAGCAGCCCAGAGACAAGGGGAAGCAGCCCAGAGACAAGGGGAAGCAGCCCAGAGACAAGGGGAAGCAGCCCAGAGACAAGGGGAAGCAGCCACTGGTGGTGGGTTGACTGGTGGGATGGAGGGGAGGGAGCGAAATGATAAACAGTTTTCTTGGAAAGGGAAGGAGTGGTCTGCCGAAGGTGGAAAGGGTCCAAGCGCAGGGGTTTCGGGCGAGAGGGTGAACGAGGGGGTGAACGAGGGGGTGAACGAGGGGGTGGGAGAGAGATTAACTGCAGCCATGGGTGCTGCTGTGAGAAACGCGTGTGTTCAGTTTGATGAGCTCACCCGGGAGTTGCTAGCGGATGCTTATTCGAGGTTTGAGAGGCTTTCACAGCGATTGGCGGAAGATGCTAGTGCTCAGTTTGAGGAGATTGCGAGAAAGCTAATAGCTGAGACTGCGGCGGCTTGCCGAGATGCGGAGAGGCGGTAAGAGGAGGTAAATAGTACAAAGCGATGAGTTGTGTGGAAGCTGGAGCGAAGGGCCTCACTTGGAACTTGGGAGTTGCTAGAGGATGCGGGTTCGCGATTTGAGGAGCTGTCACTACGATCGGCAGGTGATTCTTCTGCTCTGTTTGAGAAGACACCGAGAGAGTTTACCGTATCGGAGCAAGTGTTACGAGTTGCAAGGAGATGAATTGCATGGAAACAAATTGGTTGTGCAAAAATTGAGAGCCAGAAATATTCCCTTGCAGGCCTCGATGACATGGGTACAGAAACCCCTCACGGCAAGCAGTTACAGACCAGACTTGCGATGGCGTCTTTTCGCTTGATCGTGCTTTCGTTAAACACTGTCTTGCGGTTGAGAGGTTCGCGAGTCTCGCGAAAAAGATCGGTAGTTCGCTGGCGCTGATCAGTAGTGACCGCATTTTTCTTCGCTGACACGTGGCACCATAGTCACATCAGCGTGCTCTTCTCCATTTGAGAGTGTGGTTGGGCTGAACGTGACAGCCTGCACAACCGCTTGACATCGAAAGGAGCCAATTAAATCGTTCAACCCTTTGCAACCGCTTCGTGAATGCAAGAACCGTATTAAAACCCTTGGGTTTTGAAACATTAGTCTTGCAACAACCACTTCGTGTTCGATTTCCTTCCACCCTTGACATTGTATTTTACCCTCCCGCTTATTCTACTTTTGTCAGTATGGTGTTGACTCCACTGGGTCGGCGTCGCTTTCGTCGTTTTCGTCTGCATTTATGGCTATTTTCTCCACATCAGGAATTCGTAACTCCTCCAGCTAGGTAGTACAGTTTCCGTCTCGCTTTGGCGACCTTAATGTCTTTCAGAAAGCGGGTAGCTAACGGCAAACCAGCCCAGACCAGCACAGAAGTCGATCAGGCGTCAATTCCAACACCCGACCCGCCGTTTATTCGGTGGATCATGGAGCAGCACGCTGCCTCCTTGATCCGCTGCGATGCCGACGAAAACGACGAAAGCGACGCCGACGACGATTGCGACGACTTCGGCAGCGATTTCGGCGACGGTGGCGAAAGCGACGCCGAAAACGATGGCGAGTCGGACGACTCGTATGATATCGACGAGTACCTTAGAGGACGATTCGGAAGGTCGAATGACCTAACAGAAGACGGGTTTCGAGATGGAGAAACAGCGTTTGAAGCACCTCAAAGGACGTATGACGGAGTCACACAAGACGCGGTTCGAGACGGAGAAACGGATCGTGAGTGGGAAACCGATGCAGAGGCCGAAGCGGGTTGCGTGGGGGAACGGGGTTTCGGGGTCCCATGGCATGAAATCCAGGCAGGCGAAACGGAAGGGGAGGGATTAACGGAGCTCGCGACGCGGAAGATGCGGCAGTGGAGCAACGCGGAGCTGATGGAGCTCGCAGCGGCTGTCGTTTTCTGCCGGCGCAGCGGGGAAGTCACGCGGCGGAGAGGCAGCAGGGGGAACGCTTACTGGCGGAAGGTGTGGCGCGTGATCCGGCGGGGAAATCCCGAATGGCGCCGCATTCCGACGGCGATGTCGCAGCAGTGGAAGCGCATGAAATCGCGCTACGACGAGGAGACGCTCGACCCGCGGCGGAAGCGGCGGCGGCGGCGGCGGGGGACGGAGCTGTGCCCCGCAAATGGGACGACGGACGCGGAGCAGCTGGCGGGGGGCGCGGAGCAGCGGGCAGGGGGCGCGGAGCAGCGGGCAGGGGGCGCGGAGCACCTGGCGGGGGGCGCGGAGCAGAGAGGTGGCGCGGGAGAGCAGCGGGCAGGGGGCGCGGGGGAACAGCAGGCGGGGAGCGCGGAGCAGCAGGCGGGGGCCTCAGTTCAGCAGCGGCAGGGAGGGTCTACTAACGCGGATGAGCGGCCTATAGCAGAGGAGAGCACATTCGAGACCAATGGGTCGAAACCTGCATGGTTTGAGTACATTCGCATGTTCTATCGGACTGAGCTGCAGGCGAGGAAAGGCGTTGCTGCGAAAAGGACTAGAAGAGCAGCTAGAGCGTCAGCAGCAGCTGTTGTCGCGACGGCCTTTACTGCAACGAAACAGCCTGCTGAAATGCCAGCGTATGCGTTTCCTGAGAGCATTGGTTTAGGGTGGGAAGAGACTGGTGGGCAGCGGCGGGAGCAGCAGCAGCTGCAGGAGCAGCGGGGGCAGCAACAGCAACAGCAGCAGCAGGGACAGCAAGTGCAGCAGCAGCAACAAAAACAGCAGAGAAACAGTGGGCCCTCCCCATCACCAGTACCGTTACCACCACCATTGCCATTACCCCCACCGTTACGGTTACCATTTCCACTACCATCACCATCACCATTACTACCATTACCTTCGCAATCCGCACCTCTCGCTTTAACAGCAGCAGCGCCAGCCACTGCCTCTCCCTTTGCACCTGCTGAGGGGCAACCCTCTGACTCGAGGCAACCCTCTGACTCGAGGCAGCCCCCTGACAACTACCTGCAGTGCCTTCGCAACAAAGTCACCGCTCTTCCCACCGCTACAGGCCCGATAATTGACTTCAGACGAAAATATGGAGGAATTGACAACACCCTGCTGCGCCTGCCCGGTAACAACAGGGTTACGCTTGCTGCCGGCGCTACAGCCCCCCTGCCTGCTACAATTTTCTTGCCTGCTACAACCTCCGTGCCTGCAACAGCCCCTCTGCATGCTGCAGCCCCCTTTCCTGCTACGTCCCCCCTGCCTGCTACAGATTTCCAACCAGCAAGTTATGAGCGCGCAACAGCCCACAGGCAAGGGGCAGCAGCAGCAACAGCAATGGGTGGTTTGACTGCTGGGGGAGTCTCACTGTGTGGTAGGGCTTCTGAGATGCATGAGAGGGAGCAGCGGGAGCGGAATGAGGGAAGGTCTGCAAGGAGAGGAACGGAGAGATTCACAAGAGGTAGAAAGGGTTCGAGTGCAGGGGTTTCGGGCGAGGGGTTAGGTGGGAGGTTGGGCGAGAGGTTAGGTGGGAGGTTGGGCGAGAGGTTCGGTGGGAGGTTGGGCGAGAGGTTGGGCGACAGGGTGGGTGAAATATTAACTGCAGCCATGGGTGCGGCTGTGAGAAATGCGTGTGTTCAGTTTGATGGGCTCACTCGGGAGTTGCTAGCGGATGCTTATTCGAGGTTTGAGGGGCTCACCCAGGAGTTGCTAGCGGATGCTTACTCGCGGTTTGAGGAGCTTTCACAGCGATTAGCGGGGGATGCTTCTGCTCAGTTTGAGGAATTTGCAACAGAGCTAATAGCTGAGACTGCGGCGGCTTGCCGAGATGGAAAGAGGCGCAAGAGGGGGTAAATACGGTAGCAAAGCAAGCTCCTCGTATTGTATGGAGGAGGCGCAAATATGTAGGGTACAAGCCGGATGAGTTGCAGAAAATATATGGTACTTGAAAGCAAGCTCCGAGAAGCACAAGCTCCGGGAGGAAGCACAAACCTTTATTAAATGTGTAAAACGAATCATGGCAGTTGTTGGTAGCGTATGGCTGGCAGGATCGAAAGATTAACCACGATGGCATTAACTCTACCATTACCGTATTAGGGTATGTCGATGGTGCATGCAGGGTCCCTATTGTGTCCTGCTTTTTGCTACAACAAAAGCTGGCCAGCAGTAGCAGATACATACACCACACCACCCAATACATTGCTCAACACCCAATTGTTCCAACTGACAACAGAGACTCTCCGCTCACTCCTGCATCCCATCCTCTCAACACCTCTGCACCACACTGGCTACTTCTGGTACCGCTTTGCACCTCTCCCAGCCGTCCACGAGTCTCTGAATTCCCGCGTTAAACTCTTGAATTGAAAGCAAGCAGCTTCAGCAAACTCCATCATCGAGTCCTCAAACTGGCAGCACAGACTCTCCGCCCACTCCTGCATACCATCCTCAAAATCCGCACACGCTCTTTCCACCATCACATCACCCGCTTCTCCCCCCGAAAACGTATCTCTGCCAGTCGAAAACGCTGGGAACGCGCTCTCGTATTGCTCTACCCTGGACCTGGGTAGCATTTCCCTCTCCCTCCACGTCGACCCGCGCTTCCTCCTCCTCCCTACCCAACCATCAGCCTCGTCAACCCCATCTCCCCCATCCTGCTCATCCAACCCATCCGCACCCATCTCATCAGCCCTGCCACGCCTTCCCCGCTTATCAAACCTTTCAAGCCTATCAGACCTACCATACCTATCAGGTCTATCAGGCCCTGTCCTAAGCCTGGCGCTTCGAGCAGAAGGGGGGTGAGGGGAAGAGGACAGCAGCTTGCCACGTGGCGCACGAGAGGGGGGCGCAGCGGAGCGCAGCAGGGGCAGCAGAGAACGATTAGATTGTGGGGGATTCGACTGCCCTGCTCCAGCTGCTGGTGCAACGGCTCCCGCCCCTGCTGCACGCCCTTTCAGCAGCGCTGCTGCGTACGTTCCTGCTGCTGCCGTGCCTGCTGCAGCAGTTGCTCCGTCGGATGTTCCTGCTTTCATTTCTGCTGCTTCGACTTTCTGTCCACCTGCTGCTGCTGCTGCTCCACCAGCAGTGATCGCTCTCGCGATGCCCAACAAAAGAGCAGACGAGCGCTGTCGATCTTCCACAGGCGAATCAAACCGAGTCTCACGCCATCGACCCCGGCTGTCCCTTGAAACGTTACCCACACGCGCCCACCGTCGATCCTGCTGACGTGTCATGATCGGATCCATCAACACAAACCACTCGGGCAGGCGATCAGGAATGTCGGCCGCTCGTAGCCGAGCCGCGAAATCCTCAGCCGTTGGCGAAGGTTCGGATTGTTCCAGCCGGTCAGCCCATTCTAGCCGGTCCCTTAGGTTCTCGTAATTCGATTTAAGCCTGTTGATCTTAGCTTTTATCGCGTCCGCGGAATGGCGGAATTCCGGGTCACGCTGCAGCAGGAGGTGGAGCAACTGTTTATGATAAGAGGTGCCTCTTGTACCGGGTATGGCGTGAAACTCTGCATCCAGCTCCGCGTGAGCCTCGAGGAGCAGCCGAACCTCCGTATGCGACCACATACTCGGTGCCTGCACATTCATTAGATTCGATTCGCGGAATGATGACCGAGGAGGTTCCGGAAGGACATTTCCCTCGCTATAAGCTCCCTCGCTATAGGCTCCGCCGTGTCCTACAGATGCTTCGTTTGTAAGAATGACCTTGGTGCTGGCAACTTCAGCGGCAGGCTGGTCAGGTGCAGCAATGTCCGCCGTCGGTTTATCAGATGTAGCTATATCCGCCGTTGGTTGATCTGATGCAGCTATATCCGCTGTTGGTTGACCTGATGCAGCTATATCCGCCGTTGGTTGATCACTTGCAGCTATTTCCGCCGTTTGTTGATCTGATGCAGCTATATCCGCCGTTGGTTGATCAGTTGCAGCTATATCCACCGTTGGTTGATCTGATGCAGTTACATCGGCTGTAGCTTCGCCTGATAATACTAAATCAGGCGTCGCTTGATCAGATAACGCTAACTCCATCTCGGGCTCCTCAAATGGAGTCTGGGGAGAACTGGTGGGAGACATGACCTCCGACTTAGGCTCCATTACTTAGTCGCAGCAGTTAGAACAGTCAGAGCAAAATGCTGGTAAATGCTGACGGACGCAGCACATGGAGGTCGTATTTTTGAAGGCCCAACTAGGAGAACTATGTAAGCGAGAACGACGCTGAAGTGGGTGGGGAGGAACAACGCAATTCGCGAAACTGACACGACAAGGTTCATCTTCGCCAGTCCATGATAACCGAGAATATCGCATGGGCGAATAAACAAGCTGGTTACTCTGTTTGCGAACGGTGTTGCAAGGCTATCCCCTCGTGGCATGGGCGTGGTGTTCCTTCCGTGAGCGACGATCATACTCTTTGACGACGAATGAGCGACACCTCATAGCGTGTAACTTCGCATCGCTGGTTTCGACCTGGCAACTCGTCCTGGCATTGCTGGGTGACTGTCAACCGAAACCTCGAGCATTTTACGTGCCCGATACACCCGATACGCATCACTACTTAGCTTGTTCCCTCGCCCTCAGACCGAACCTAGCACCCGTGACAGACAGCTGACCAATCACAAGGCCCGATACGAACCCTCTTATCGCCAACGCTCGCCTTCGGTTCGGTACAGAGTTTGTCATCGTCATGAGGTTCGTTTCCCTCCAGTTTGGTGCGGTTTGCATTGCAACCGAAGACTACCTCGCAACCTCCATCAGTGCCTGTTCGGGCAGGATGGACCGTCATCAGATGGAACGTCTGGTGTGAACGATACCTACGCTCATCACGCTGAAACTGACTTCAACACACCGCGCCGTTCTCAAACTCTCTGAGCCTAAACGAACCGGCCCGTTTGGCCTTGTAGCAGTCCGTTCTGAGAGCCAAACCAAACCCCAAACCGGAAAGCCGAGTTGCTAGATAGCTATCTATGGTTGCGTCCTTGAAACCCTAGGGTTGCGTTGCTTCCTACGCAGTTTGCTTCTTTGAACCAGTTTGGCAATACTTCCTACTGTTTGCTTGTCTGAGCCGGTTTGCTGGAGATCAGTTTGCTAGTAGGAACGTCCTTCTGCCTGACCTCCTAGGTTCGTAATTCCAAGAACTGCTAGCGACGCCGAAGGTCATCGCTTGATATTGGAACGATTTTCATACCTAGTTGCTTTTCGTAGCGAAAACGCTTTGTTGGCTAAGTATTTCCTGTACCACGCTACTGGTAAATACGGTAGTCCATCCCAGCCGAATCATGCAATTCCAAGAAGACTCACCGTCGCCAAGCAACAACAGCCTGCTGCCGAGCGATTACCTAAACGCTCCCATCTTCGCCTCGCGCTACCAGGACGATTCGGCTGACGACGATGACAATGACGATAACGACGACAATGACGTCAATCATGACGTCAACGGCAGAGAAATCGCTCGCGAGCGCCGAAGTTCGGCCGATCTGGCTCGCGCGATTAACGGCGTGCGGCAGCATTGGAGCCCGACTGAAACCATGCAGCTGGTTACCGCTTTCGTCGAGCTCGACCGCGAAAACGACGGCATGCGCATCGTCCATGGCTCCAACTACTACCGCGAATTAATCGCCTTGTTGCTTCGGAAGTTCCCCGAGTTCCGGCACTCGCAGCCGGCCGTCAAGGCGAAGCTCATTCGCATGAAGAATAAATACTACCGGCTGCAGAACCGGCTGGACCGGTCAGCCGTCTGTTCGAAGGATCAGCTGCCGGAGTGGTATGTGCTGATGGATTCGGTGATGGAGCGCGATGAGTTTCGGTTGCGTTCGGCGAGGGCGGAGATTCGACCAAATAGAGGACGTCGGGGTCGACCGCCGAAATCGGGAGGTACGAGCGCGAGTTTCGCCTGTGCGTGCCACGTACAGTTCTTCGTTCCTTTCGTTGGATATCGCGCCTGTCTTATCCCCTGGAATAATGCAATTCTGTACCATCTCCTTTTTTTCCCATGCGTTTGCTCAATCCACAGGCCGTCCTGCAGCAGCACAAGCAGTACCGAAGCGAGAGAGGGAACAAGGCGATTCAAGTGACGACGACTTGAACCCACTCGACGGTTCTCTCGACGACACTGAAGCGTATTCGTTCCCGGCTCTCCCAACCCTGCCTACTGCAGCAAACACGAGAGCACTGCAGTATGCTTCCCCAGCTCTCCCAACCCTGCGCACTGTATCAGTTACGGAACCACTGCCGTATGTCTCTCCACCTCCCCGATTCGCCCGAGAGGGTTCTGCACTGTACACCCCGACTGCAGCTGCTGCGTTGCCACTTAAAGCCGGAGCAGCATCAGCACCTGGGGCGGCACCTGGGGCGTCAGCAACTGTTGGGCAAGCTGTTGCTGCAGCGACTGCTGCTGGGGCATTGGCGTTGGCAGTGCTCAACGCAAGCAATCCTCTGCGTGGTGTTGCTCCGATAGGAGCGTCAGTAACTCCTCTGTCTACCACTTCTGCACCAGCAACAGGAGGCGCTGCAGGCGGAGCCGCAGCAGGGACAGGAGCAGGAACAACAGCAGGAACAGGAGCAGGAACAGGGGGAGGAACAGGAGCAGGGACAGCAGCGGGAACAGAATCAGGGACAGGAGCAGGAACAGTAGCAGGAACGGCAGTGGGAACAGCAACGGTAACACCAGCAGAAGCAGCTGGAGCAGCATCAACAGCTGCAGCAGCAGCCAACGATTCAGGCAGAAGCTACCTTCAATCACTGCTTGCCACCACAATCCCGCTCTCTCCTCGGGCTAAAAGGTTGATCCCTTCCCCTTCTGCTCCAACTGAGAGGCTGACGCCCCCCCCTGCTGCTGAAGACGATAGGCTGACGTCACCTGCTTCGGCCCGAGGTGATAAGCTGACGTCACCAGCTTCTGCTGAGGATGATAGACTGGCATCCCCTCCTTCTGCTCGAGATGACATGCGAATGTCTCCCCCCATTACCCGAGGGGGGAGGCGGATGTCGGCAGGTATGGGACCCACTGGGTGGAGGAGGGGCAGGTGGGGATCAGGGTGGCGAGAGCGAGAGGGGTTTGCAGTCGATCCCGGGATGCGTTCGCACTTGAGTGCGCGTCGCACGGCCGGCAGGGCAGGCCTGATGGATCCCGAAGGCCTGGGTGCTGTGATGGACGAGGCGGTTGAGAGTGCATTTGCGGGTTTCGAGGGGCTTACTCAGGAATGGGTGGAAAGAGCGTGTGGTGAGTTCGAGGGCATGGTGGCTGACATGGCCGAGAGGGCTTGTGCGCAGTTCAGGAGCGCTGCTAGAGAGTTTGCTGGGTCTTGGAAAGCCGGGCAGGATTACAAGAGGCGGAGGAGATACTGATGGGGTTGTGGCTTAGATACGTAGATGTTCCCTTGTGTTTTGCTCCTCGAGTGGCTATTTTCTTTTCGCCAGGTTTCAATGTTTGCTTGTGTTTTGCTTTTCATGTGCTGAATCCAGCCTTGTATAAACTTCAGCTCGTACTGTGGCACTTTCTAGTGATTAGCAAGTACTTCTGAGGTACCGGGGTTCGGAAGATATCTTGGGTTAGGGGCCTTATCGAGAAACGGTCGTGATGTGATGTACGGTAGTTAACCCTTGCCTTTTCTCTTAGGAAAAGTTTCCCAAGTCCTGTAGGGAAAGTTTCCCAAGTCCTTCCGTATATCTGGGAAAAGAGTGCGCTACTGGGCAGTCACATTTGTCAACCACATCCATCCACTATCAGCAAGGAGTAAATTCTCTTGTAGGCCAAGAGATAACTACGGTACTGGTCTACCTACCTCCTACGCCTCTTCACGTCTTGGTTAGCCACGAAGTTCACTGCCATTTCTCTAGCAACATCCTCAAACTGAGCTGCTGCATTCTCAGCTAAACGTGCAGAGAGCTCCTCAAACTGAGAGCATGAATTCTCCAGCAGCTCTCGGGTAAGCTCCTCAAACTGAAAGCATGCGTTTCTCACCGCAGAGCCCATTGCAGCAGCGAACTTCTCAGCCATAGCCGCAGCAATGGACGCTTCAGGGCCTGCTAGCATCCCTGCCCCTCTTGCGGCCGATCCCCGCTTCTTCCTTCCCTCTCCCAAGCCCCCGGTTCCCATCCTCAGCCTGCCAGTCTCCCGAGTAGGAACAGGAGTGATGGAATTACGCAGAGATAGCAAATAACTGCCCGATCCGCCACCTGTGAACGGAGAAATTGTTGCCGGTGGTGGAGTTGGAGCTGAAACCGGTGGTTCTGTTGCTGAAGCCACGTTCTGAAACAGGCTGTTTCTTGCAAGTCCGCTCTGGCCTGCTGTCTCTGGCCATGTTGGCGTTACAGGAAACGCATATGCTGGCGTCTCGGCCGAAAGAAGCTTCCTCTCTTGGCCGGCATTCGTGAGCAGGGCTGCCATACGACCTGAACACAGAAATCGCAGATATCTCTATTAGTCCGCTACCATTGAGGGTGAGTCTATTCACACGGTAAATTCAGCTCAAGACAGCTCAACAACACCGTATCCTCACAAAAACAAAAGAAAAACACAAATAAAATAAAGCGCAAATATATGACGGCGTTTCGAGCAGGATCGTACCCTTACCTGAGCTAGCTGACGGGTGCGTTATTCTAGAACCTTGCTGGTTCGCCGCTGTCGCAGTCTGCCGATTGCTAGACTCCCGTGCCATCACAGTGTCCAGCAAGACAAACCATTCCGGTAGATTCCGGGGAGCAGCAGATGCCGACCGCTCAATCCGATCCGCAGCTGCAGGTACTGTCCTTTCAGGCGGAACAGCTTCGTCTTGACGGACCCCTCCGTGTGGCGAAAATCAGGGAATTTCGCGCGCAGAATGCGGTACAATTCGCCGTAGTAGTTGGAGCCTTGAACGCCTCGCATGATGTGGTACTCCGGGTCCAGCTCCACGTGGGCTTTAACGAGCTCGATGACCTCGTCCTCTCTCCAGTGTCCGCGACTCGCGTTAGCTGCCGTGTCGGGATTAAGCCCGCCATCGTCTCCAGCTGTTCCGACGGAGTCGCCTCGAGGAGTACCGGATGGAGCGGCTTCGGCGGCTTCAATAGCCGCTGAGACTACAAGAGATGATGTCTGTTCAATAGCACCAGCTGTGCCTCCAGTCGCAGCTGTGTCTCCGGCAGTAGCGGTGTTTTCAAGGTCAGCCGTGTCTTCAATATTTTCTGCGCCTTGATTATGCTCAACCGCGGCAATCAGTGCTTGTTCCAATGGAGGTGCTACGGGAGCTTCAGGGCTCGGAGTGTTCGACTCTGACTGCGGTTCCATGGCTTAGTTGCGAACTGATAAGCCTAAAAGAGCAGCTAGTGTCACTCAACAGAGATCTTCTGATGGTCTGTGTCGCCTAAAAGTGCGACCCTGAAATGGTAAGTGGCGTTTCCAGTCACAAGAGCTGATCACTAAAACTCTCCACTGCAAGCTGGGGTTTCAAGAAGAAGTGTGAAACGCTGAACTCTATGTGAAGCTAAGTTCGAAACACTGTTGTGAAGGGGGAGGAGAGGAGAGAACCGTAGAAGAACAAGGGTTTCAAGAACTGTCGCCTGCGGGTCAGGTGGTGTCTCGGTTGGATACGCTTTTGTGAGTTACAAAACGGTCAAGACAGCAAAGAGCAGTTTCGTAGGGGGTTTGGATCGAAAATAACCATTTGGGAAGTTGGGACCAGCGGGAGCAGGTTTCAGGTTCAGGAACCAAGGGGAATGATGACTTGCTGATACACCCTTCTGGAGGCTCGTCTACGAGCCAAGTGATACCGAACCTTCGATCGACACCGGGAACTGAAATCACGCTAGATCTCATCACGAGCGAACGGCTGGGATGAGACTTTGCCCTGGAACTTCTCTCTTGCAAACCCCAATCCGAGACGCACACGTTTTGAAACACGTGGTGGAACCCTGCCCTGGCTAAACCAGATTACGGCTTGGCAACACCTGGAAATTGTAATTGGTTCGTCCCAGATTGTGTTTCACAAATGACCTGACCGACTGAAGTTGTTTCTGAGGCGACGGCTCCATTCCGTGCTGTAAACCGTTCCGATTGTGCAGTAACTTTCATTCCCAGTCTCATTTGCCTGGTCCCTAGGCTGTTTTCGCAATGCTTGCAACCGGAAATTGGGTCCATGTGCAAAATACATGCTCGTGTGCCTTTGTTTATGAAGGCTAGTGTTAAAGCCGGTAAGAGACATTGAGATCAATTGCAAAACAGTTGACGCTGAGTTACCCAGTGTTTGTAGGCGAAGTAGACTGGTTGGCTAGGCAGTTTGGCGTGCGACACTCCCAAGTTTTTGTCAAAATAGTGGCATAAGTAGGGACTAGGTTTAAGTGAGGGCCTAGGCATAGTAGCCTAGGCCCAAGGAGATTGAGCTAGGGGGAGAGTCGAGAGATGAGAGTAGAATGAATGTTCACTATAGCACTAGGGTACATATAGCAAACAAAGAGGTGCACCACCTATGTAGTTAATATCTACACTACAGCTAGAACTACATGCAGGTATAAGAATATAATTCTGACAGTTTTTGCCCCAGCACCAAATGCAAAACAATTTCAGAGACATGAGACTTTCGGCAAATTTCAGGCATTCTAGCTTCGGATCCTAACCAAATTCCATGCCTACGAGGTTCGGACACCCACAATCGATTTCAGTTTCCTTCGCATCCCTCGCTGCACCCCTTGCATCTCGTCAACCAATCGCAGCCAACCTCCAACCATCAACTGCAAAACGTTTGTGGTACTTGAGATCCTGGCTTTAAAGTAAGTTCGTGGTGCAGTTTACTATTGGATAGTGTTACGAGTGCAATGGAACGAGATAGCGAGGATTGCACTAGGTGTCAAATGGGTACAAAGTGTCTGCGAAGGTATCAGGCCCTCAGAAGTCAAAGAAATTTGCCTGATTTGCTTAAAAAAGTCTGAGATTTCAGATATTTTTTAGGGTGGACGCTGAGAAATTCAGAGTGTCAAACATTATATGTTTATATGATTGTAGGCTGTAGTGGGTTACACCTTAGGGGGTACACTAGATTAGGGTTTACTACTTGTATCCAACTTTGTGCTAGTACAGTCATTCCTGTCTGTTCATTCTGACATGGTTTCAGAGCAGGTCCTTCGCTAGGACCGTTTTTTTTAAGGGCCCACCGTTACCTACCTACCTAGGGCGCCTCGAACTTTTTTTTACGGCCCCTACCTCCCGCGACCCGCGACCCGCCCCTTAAGGCCCCGTCGCGCCGCCCCTTAGCCGCTCGCGCGCGGCCTTTTTTTTTCCCGCGCGCGCCTTATTTCCCTCGCGCGCGGCCCGTCGCCTGCTCGCGCGCGCCCCGCAGCCGCCCGTCGCCTGCTCGCGCGCGCCCCGCAGCCGCCCGTCGCCTGCTCGCGCACGCCCCGCAGCCGCCCGTCGCCTGCTCGCGCACGCCCCGCAGCCGCCCGTCGCCTGCTAGCGCACGCCCCGCAGCCGCCCGTCGCCTGCTCGCGCACGTCCCGCAGGCCCGCAGCCCGCTGTCGCAGCGGCCGCCCGCCCGCAGCCGCCCGTCGCCTGCTCGCGCACGCCCCGCAGCCGCTCGTCGCCTGCTCGCGCACGCCCCGCAGCCGCCCGTCGCCTGCTAGCGCACGCCCCGCTGCCCGCAGCCGCTCGTACGCCGCTGCTTCCGCTGCTGCTTGCGCACTGCTGCCTCCCGAGCGCCGCCGCTGCCTGTGCGCCGCCGCTGCCCGTGCGCCGTCGCTGCTCCTACGCTGCCGCTGCCCGTGCGCTCCCGCTGCCCGTGCACCGCCGTTCCCAGTGCGCCGCTGCCGCCTGTGCGCTTCTGCAGCCGCCGCCCGCGAGGCACTCGCTCTCACTGTTGTTTACCTTCTACCTACTACTGCCGCTCGTGTGCCACTACGGACAGTCGACCCCGCCCGCGCCTTGCCTAGCGGCCCCGCCGGCCCCGTTGACCCTCCGCACACCTTTCCAGCGGCCTGATTCCTACTACTACTGTCACTATGGCTAGTCCTCCAGTTCTAGCTTTCGATGCCGAGGGCCGTCCAGTGAAGTTCGAAACCTGGCTAGATGACCTGCACCTGTTCCTACAGCTCACTGCCAAGGAAGATATCTCACTGTACGACCACGCCCTAGGCCATGCCACTGCCCCTGACTCGACTGCTGACAGCACTCTGCGTTCCCAGTGGCAGACCCATGATGCGCACGCTCGCTTTGCTATTCGCAACTCCCTGCCGCTAGACGAGCGCGAGCACTTCGGGCAGTGCAAGACTGCTAAGGACCTCTACACCGCTGTAGTTGCCCGCTACTCCTCGCCAGCTTCTGCCACGCTAGGCCGCCTCACTCTCCCCTACCTGTTCCCCGACCTAGCCTCCTTTCACACTGTCGCAGACCTCATCACCCACCTTAAGACTAGTGAGGCCCGCTTTCGCGCTGCTATGCCTGCCGAGTTTCTCACTAGCAACCCCCCCCCGCTCTGGATCACTCTCTACCACATCGTCACCCGCCTTCCTGACTCTCTACGCGCAGTCAGGGACCACTTCCTCTCTCGCTCCCCCACTGAGCTCACTGTTGCCCTCCTCGAGAAGGAACTGCTTGCAGCTGAGGCGAGCATCGTCGCTGTAGGCACCTCTCGTGGCGACCCCCGCACCCCGTTCTTTGAGGGGTGTTCCCCTTCCCCCCTCCTCCCCTCTGTCGCCTCTGCTGCTGCTGTCGACCTTCTTGGTGCTGAGAAGGTCGGGACCGCGTCTGCTTCGAGTGGGCGCCGCAGGAACAAGGGGGGCAGGGGTGGGGGTGGCGGCGGAGGAGGTGGGGGTGGAGGCGGTGGGAGTGGAGGCGCGGCTGGGGAGACTAGTGGCGGCAGTGGGGGAGGAGACAGCAGCGGTGGGAGTGGTGGTGGAGGCGGCAGCGGAGGCGGAGGTGGTGGGGGTGGTGGTCGTGGAGGCACTGGCGGAGGGCAGAGTCAGCAGCCCGCCCCGACACTTCAGGCCGCCCGTGAGTGGTATGCGCAGCGTAGCTTTACCTGCACGTACGTCATTCGCACAGGTGACCGCAGCGGCCAGCAGTGTGGGAGGCCGCACCCCACGCAGCGCTGCTTCGCGCGCCTTAACGACGCGTGGCGCACTCAGTTTCCTGCTGCCACTGAGCTGCCGCGCTGGGCTGATCTGGAAAAGAGGGGTGTTGATATTTGGGCTTTAGACTTTGATGCTATTCTCACTGCCATGTATGCGATGTCTATTAGTGGAGAGGGTGCTCAGTACTTGCGTGTTCCGCCCGACCCGGGCATTCAGGCCAGTCCGGCTGCCGCTCTAGGTGCTAGTGCGTCTGCTCCCACAGGTCCTGGTGAGGCTGCTGCCCTAGGTGCTAGTGCGTCCGTGCCCCCTGGTACTGAGTTGACTGCAGCACTGCACACCTTCACACTGGACTCAGGTGCCTCTCGCTCTTTCTTTCGTGACCGCACTGTCCTTGAGCCACTCGCTCGGCCAGTTGCTGTCTCCCTTGCTGACCCCTCTGGGGGTCCGGTCATTGCGACCTCCTCCACTGTCCTTCCTTGTCCGGCGGTCCCGTCCGGCACGCTGTCAGGTCTCTACCTCCCCTCGTTCTCTACGAACTTGGTGGCAGGTAGTGCGCTCCAGGACGGGGGTGTTCACCAGTTCACCCCTGCCTACGAGCGCGTGATACACTGCACGTGTGCTC